CCCCCTCTTCAGGATTTATTCTTTTGAGAATGATAAAGGACGAAAATTTAGGATTCTGAACTGGCTGCAGGAATCGCTCCACTTCCAGTACAAAAAAAACAAAAACACTTTTTGGTACAATAATTTTGGTACAATAATACCCTAGTACACACGCGGTCAACACTGCGACTGCGTGACTTTTACGGATCATGGGACGGTACCACATTTCTGGTTAGTTTACGGTTTGGTTTACGGTATGGTTTACGGTATGTTTACTAAGAGCATCTCCACCGGTGATTGAGAAAAAACTAAACGTAAATCCTTTCCGGACCAAAAATATAATATCATGCAGGAGAGCTTTGCTCATACATAAAACACATCGACGGTAAGAACAAGTTTGTAATGTGGTGCACGAACTGCTAGAAAGTACACGATTCTGACCAAACTTGCTCAAAACCACGTACTTTCTGGCCGTACGTACGTATGTGTATGAGCAAAGCTCTCCTGCACGATTTTATATTTCTGCACTTGAAATATTTCTTCATGTACAATTATTAAGAGAAAGTCTCAACGCAGTATATGCACGCCTAAACGCGCGCTTTAAAGGGTACAAGGCATCAGCCACACGTCAATTCCGAAGGTATTTTTTTCTTCATTTAAATAAATTCATAGTATATCTACACTAAACAACTTCTTCGACTTTGAATCCAGCAAGCGCTCGTTTAAATTCGACAGGATTCGTGGAACCCATCGTAATTTACTCAAGCAAAGTTGTTTCTCATTATATCACAGAATCCGTGGTAACGTTCTTAATAGTATCCAGGACTGTTCGACATGGCCTATGTGCAGGGCTTGATAGTAGTCCTAAAATAAAACTGCATTTTACCATTTACTGTATAAATAGCTCTACTATTAGAGTAATATTTTATCGGGTAGAGATTTTACAATCTTAAACAATACTAGAGGGAATTTTGGGCTGGTAATGCCGAGTAAAGCACTATATGTATATCGTCTGCGACTTACATTGAAAACATTTTTTGTAGCATAATCTGTGCCTAACCATCGATGCGAAACATCCAGAAACCTGTAATATTCTTCGTTCCCGGAAAAAAATATTTACCGGCCAGTAGCAAATGGTGGGTACCTTGTTTGAGAATTTCGGCTGATTTTTCCAGGAAGTTCACGTCCATGTCAAAGCCCGTCACTTTGTCAATTCTTGACTGGCAGGTATGGGTGAGTAACAAAGGGTTTTATGCCTGGGACTTTTATCCTCGCTCCCAGAATGAGGGGCGTTGCATGTATCTGAATAAGGTTTCTTAAACACAAATGAATCACTTCGGAATTTGCCTCATTCAAGACAAGCGACTTCTTCTGGTCTTACTTCTTCTCTTCTCTCACCCTCTCAAGCCCCACGCTGTCATCTAGGACAAGTCGAAGACCTCATTACTATGGTCTCTGAGGCGTGCGCCTGCAATACTACGCCAGTCGAGGATGAAAGCGATGTGAGATGGCGTATCCAAAGACATGCACGGACGTTAACGCATCGAATTAGTGTAGCTTTACGTTAATAGTCGTTTTACTGCCTAGTATGTAAATCAATACAGCGCTGTAGTAAAAGGGTACACAGCGGATCGTATCCGGATTAGCTAATGTATAGAATACGACAACAACTACAACAACAACAGCAACAACAATGCGGGCCGGGTGCATGCAAACGTATCAAATAGACAGAACCAAAAAATTAATGTTCTTTCTAAGTCATTTCGATCATATATGGTTTTCCCTCCGCAGCTCGATACCTAGTACAAATGTGAATGTGACAAAATATAAACGGACTCACTTGATATTTCTATTGCATGAAACTGTGTGTAAAACACAACAACGCGGACATGAATTAATTGGGCTGTGCGTTTACTTTGTACCGAAGCACTACCACAGTTATTGGGGAACCGATACAAATTATATTTGTATATTGTTAACATATATCAGGCTATTTGATTCAGTTAAACGACATTAGTTGTAACTTAACGCTTTTTGTTATGGATTCATACGTATTTCATTTCAAAAATGTGGTAAACGTTCAGTACAGTTTTTACTTATGCAACATTGTGATTTCGTCAATACAATTGTATGCTCCTTAAAATGTTGGCCCAAACCTGTTTATTACCTCCGTTACAAACTCAAATTTAAATATTATTTAAATTTGAGTTTGTAACGGAGATAATGGGTCTTACTTATATATTATACATGTAAGACCCAATAGACTCTGATGTTTCGTCTTAGTTATGCAGTTCCAACGATAGACGAAGAACTTGTATCGCTGTTATCAGCAGTTTGATCATTTGTTTTTAGTTTAGAGGTTCTCTGTACTAGTACATCGACCATGTGCAAATCGAGGAGTTGAATTGAGCTTTGAGCACTACCGATGCTCCGATGTTTGATGGGGCAAACTTAGCGCTGAATTATGCACATCGGAAGTGAAGTCTAATATTATATGCATAGTAGACGCAATGGAAATATGAGTTATAGTACTAGGATACTACAGCTAAAAATTGTAGTATCATCAATCGGGCTTTTCCCAAAACAGGGACCACATCTGGCTAATATTCCTAAAGCAGGGACCAAGTCTCAATGCAGGGACCTGAAACCAACTATAATGTGGACCACTGACAGATCAGAATCGAAGAGACACCCTAAAGAGCGACAACAGCTCGTCCTTGGAAAACAGCTCTTCGGTCAGCAACAGTTCCACTGCCAGTGCCTACGACACCACCGCTAGTAATTCTTCTTCTTCAACAACACCGCACCGTAGACAACAACAACAGCTCCGCCGTCGACGACAGCTCCTCAGTTGAACAAGTACAACGCCGCATCTAGTAACTACCGCTTCTTCAGCAACTACAACCCGGTAACCAGCATCTACTCATACTTCACCGACCACGATTCGACCGTCAGCATCTACCATCTACTAGCACTACCGCCAACAAGTATTGCAACGCTTCAAGCCACTACAGCTCCATTATTCGACGACTGGCCAGTCTTCTTCAGCGACAGCAGCTCTGTCACGAGCTACTACACCGGATACGCCTACACCGCCATCACGAAAAAAGCAAGCTACAGCACCCGCCACTAGCAACTCCACTTTAAAAACCAACTACGCTTCAGGTCCTAACGATGATGCCATCCACAAGAACTGTATTTGATTTACAGAAATAATACGGGACTTCTTTGCTTGAAAAACATCAACGATTCAATCCATTAAGTGTGCAACGGAGTACCTCGAGGACTACATGTACAATGAAAACAAGTTGTGCATCAAGAAAAAACATCTCAGGTGGGAAAAGCAAGACGTACATGTGCAGTGGGCAAGGGTGTGATATCTAGGCTTCTTCAGTAAGTCTACAAAGCTCCAATACGCCATACCCGTAGAATAGTCATCAGCTTCCAGAAGGTTAATATTTGTTATGATAGGAGCCAGTAGTTTCACCATATACTTCTTTATCATGTCCTTTACCAGCTGAAACATATTATATTCCAGTGGCTTGCAGTCGTCCATCCATCTATCTCCAGCACGACGTAGAGCGCATCGCTTAAATCTGCTACGTAGATGAATCTTTCAAGCAGGAGCGTGGAGTGAATGTGGAATGGAATACACGTTGAAGGCGGCTTGAAACATATTTCTAGGATAGTAAAGCCAAGTTTAAAATATTACTTTATGACCAAGTATCTATTAAAAGTTATACTGCCGCGAGTTTTGTCAGATTAATTGGATGGATTCATTTGCAAAACCCAGTTAAAACGGTTTAGTCAGCGTAAACAGTTTTGCCTATTATTCAACCCTACCTGTGTTAGATCCCGAGGACGCCTTCCCTGATAGTGATTAAAGCATACGATTCTTCACCGTTTCCGACGCTGTTATTTGTTATTAACCCTTTCGCCAACGGATACTTTTGACATGACTATATTATAGTATAGAAGGTCAAGTCATTAGCCATCAAAGTGCGCATTTTGCCCCCTTTCATAAACTACGGTACTACAGCAAATCTTCTGCAAATCCTTGTAGTTCAAGTAGAAAGGGCGAATCCACCACGTCCAACACACAAAAATAATGAAAGGAGGCATTTTGCCCCCTTTCATGGGTGACACGAGTGATACTCAAGGATACGCCCTCCAAAGGGGGCAAAATGGCCCCATTGACCACGAAAGGGTTAATATTAATACATGCAGCTGAAGATCCGCGACAAGATGAAGCTGATGTCCGGTCGACAATCGAAGCACCTTCAGACCAGCCCAGGCTGCGCGTAGTCCAAGACGTACAGATTGTACTCTCATTTCCGATACCGCGGAAAACACATATCCCTTGGGAAATTGATCAATTCGTGATTATTAGTTTCCAGGATGTTTTTGGGCGTCGCAGGAGGAAGGCCAAGATGTCCATCAGTCTTTTGCCGAGGTTGCGTTGAGCCAGGAGAAAGTGATTTCATCTAAAGAGGACTTGAAGTGGATCCACCCATATCTAACGACGCGGAGAGGCTGTTCTCACGTGCAGGAATAGTGTTCTCACGTCCGCACCGAAGCCTAAACCCACTGACGTTGGAGACGATGCTTTTAGGAGGTTGTTTAGGAACTTTGACTGTGATTATCATACTGGTATTTGTTGGTTTTGATGTGTGTAGAAGAAGGTAAATGCCGAAGTGAGTGTATTTCAGTTATCTATGGTATCTCCCCACACTCTCGAGCTCACCTTACTGTCACTCGATTGGTCAGTATCTCCTTGTTCCCTCTCGTCAACCTCCTTACTCCCGACGTCTCCATCACTTGCTCTCATTATACTTGTCCACTCACAGTGCTGATAGGAACGTGCCGCGTCCTGCCGCCGTCGGATACTCCTCGCCATCACCAGATGAGTCCTTGCTGATAGTCCCCACGCGTTCGCCATTATCCGTTGAGTCCTCTCCGTGGGTCAGCGAGCGCTCATCGTCATCACAGCCGTCACCAAGACAGTCTGCGAGCACTCGTTAACGCACCATACCAACAGTATTTCTACTTTTAGTAGTTTTAGTCAGTATTTTTAATAATCACAAAAATGTATTCATTAGTACGATCAGTATGTTTGTGTTGGTGTTCACTCGGGAGGTGGGGCGCGTCGGGAGGGTTCTCCAGGTAACCCCCCCCCCCTCCCCATTCCAGTGCGTGTATCCGTTTTGGCTAGATCCCAGGTTTTTTTTTGAAAGTGCGAAGCGGTGATATGACGTACACATCCATCTGTCATGGATGTGTATCGAAAAAAAAACTTACAAATAACACCATTTTTAATTGGCGTGGGATCTGCCTAGCCATCAGTATCATATTGTATTTTACCAACCCTTGCCCAAACCCAGGGAATAGGCCACCCACACCCTCTCTTAACTGTGTTAAGCATGTTAAACGATCTCTATTCCTTCTGGGACGTGCCTCACGGAGCGTGACACTATGTGAGAGCGTCAGGATTAGCGAAACAACTCTGTTTATCTTGAATAAACCGTTGGAATATCATCTTTTAATTATGCACTTAAAAAAATATTAAACATTTTTTGGCACTTTTCCCACTAATCACTAATTATAAGAGGCCTGTACAGGCGACCCGCCCTTGAGTAAAGGACGTTCACAGACCCAGATACGGTTCTGGGGTTTTAGATCAATTTGCTGAACCGGAAAATGAAAACTAATAGTATTCCATGTATTTTGAAACAAATAGTTCAAAAGCAGTAATAATATTTGAAAATTTCATATATATGAGTTTGGTAAAAGCTCTGATATATTAAAAAATGTCATCAATTTGAGTAAGTACTATTCAATTCACTCTACGGCAATGGAAAGCTTTAATTCTTAAAAAAAATAATTCGTGGTCTTGGAACAACAATTGTTAGAAAAGTGTAATGTTCATCGGTCCAATAATATATTTCAGTGAAACAATGCAATTCTTCGTTATTCCACTGGAACCACGTGGTGGAACATCCATGGTAATTTATTGGTCATTTATTCAGATTTTATCCCGAGTGTCTTTGTCGTGCTGTCCCAAGAACAGAACTTCTCTAGAAAGTACTACGAGCTTTACTTAGATGTAAGTGCTACAGCCTACGTTGACTTAGTGCCTTATTTCATTCGACATTCTCAATTTCTATAAACTTGTCATGCCATATTGAGCTTGAACTATTTGACCTCAACTGTTCAATTACCCAATGTAACTGACCAACTTTTATATTTTGACCCGGTAAACGATTTGACAAACAAACTCAAAACTTAATCTGAAAACTGAGAGTTTACCGAATTCCTTTTTTTAACAACAAGTAGCAGTGGTCAAAAGTGTAGCATTCTGCTCTTCTTCATTTACAAATAGAGTACTATACATAATAGTAACTGAAGCGTGAATATTTATTAGTGATACGTTTTAAAGTACTATATGGATTTGATTGTCGATCACAGTATCCTGACGTATGTTTTCGAAGACCAGGTATCGAGCACCAGCTCTGCACAACTGGTGCAGCATAAGCTATACCGAATAACCCATAGCAAGGCACACAGCAAATATGGATGTATGACCACCAATTTCCTTTTCCGGCAATAGTGCCTCTATGCCTACGACTGTAGGCAAAGGCTAGGTTCTTAAGCATTATAATCTATCTGCCGCACCCGACAACTTCATCGACGATATTGCTCCCATCTACACCGCTCTACTGGTGTCTAGCGTAGTTGTAGGTGTTCGGAAATGCATGCTTCTTCGTCAGAAGTGGCATGTATGCGATGCACAGCTTGACGACCGAACTGCGTTCTAATTGGCTAAATGGCACTGTATGCGACGACAAATAGTATGCCGTGACACAGGTTATTCGGTAGTTATGATAACTAAGGATGCGTACTTTAGAGGAAGGAAATGTCGGCAACTGGAGTGGATTGGAATGTGCTCTGTGATTTCCATACATGATACATGTACAGACACACCATTCTGTAGAAATTCATGCCCTTGGAAATACCCGCTGACAGAATTATGAAAGGGGGCCTCGAAGTCCAATCTTTATTCAAAAATATCTTGCATATCTTTCGTAACATGTAATGCAAGTACAAAAGCATAAAAATTACTATGTTGCGGTGCTTAACTATGGAAAATAACCTTTTGTGAAGAACATTCAATGTAGTAAGCAAGTGCATTAACTGAACGCGCTCTTCGCTCTTGTCTAATTCATCTCAAAGCTCTCTCTACTCCATCCTAAGCCCTGCACATTTCGGGCCGGCATGCCAATTAGATCTCGAATAAGCAGCACTGCAATCCGCTAGGGAGGTTTCTTGTTATCGACCGGATTGAGTAATGCATCATTGTCCTCTGCTTCGCGCTCCAATATTGTCGAAAACATCCATCGGGATATGTATTGCAGAACTGTCTTCCACCTCGACTGAGCTATAGACACGTTTCATGGACCATTTGCATGGTACCGTTGGATGTGTCTCTCTATCATCTGAATACCCCTAGATAAGAATAGTAAGTGGACTAAACAGTGGCTGTTACGGACATGTGGCCGGAAGGATTGGTGTTGACAAGAATTCAGTTGCAGTCATATGCACGAGCGTAGCGCGGTTCAAGAATTAAGAACACCATAATCAGTTTTCTCCTTATTTACTGGTATACTGCAGCGATTAAATCCTTGATCAGATTCCTAGTGGCTGTCACCTGAAAAGTCAGGTGACCAGGCTTGCTGTTAAAGGATAACATTACTGTAACTCGTCCCAGAGAAAGGATCACCACAAACTTTGGTGCCATAAAGTTCTGTAAAATATCCGTGTCTAAGGCGTATTACATTTACTATCCCACCTACGAATTCTTTAAGCTTACTTCATAACCTCGTAACATACGGTCTCCGTAGTTCAATTGGATTATCACAACGTGTTAGACTCCAGCAGGCAAACTGGAACCACATTGCTTGGCGGCGCAACAAACAAGGAAGGAAAATAAGCCCAGTGATATTGTATTGTACATGAGCGTTATGTATCAAGTATAGGACTCCACTAGAAGATTCCAAGCCTTGGTTCTAGAGTCCTACGTTATATATTATATCGCACATGCGAATCCCTCGCCTTGGCGTGCCGTCAAGGATCGCTTTCTTTTGCACGACGTGCATTGCAAATTTTTCATATGTAAAGGTCGTTTGCAGATCCTGATCCGACTCTGGAATCTGTTCCGACGGAACCCGGTGGTCAGAAGCTCTCATTCCTCCGATTTGCCTTTACTACTTAAAATATATTAAGATTCTAAATTACCTTGAATAGTATTGTAATCCAAAGTCGTAAACTAGTAAGAGCGTAGATTTAACAGAGGAGTTGAAACTTAGACCATGACAAACTGGCGGCTCCTATTTCTTATTGGTCTCAGCCGACCAACAAAGCTGTCAAATTGCTATGTTGATAACAGTGTTCTGACGTGTGATATTGAAGACGAAATGCTGACTACCGTCTATGCAATCGTACCCTATAATCTGAATAGTCAAATCGAATTCGTTAGCACGTGAGTCCTTTTCTATGGAATAGAGGGAACAACTTATCAAAATCGACCGCTCTTGCTTTACTAAAACTTGATGAGGGGCGTGATCTTACGTGCCGTCAAGTGCACAGTAATCAAAAGATTGGGTTCCAAGCTTTAGTTGTCGAAGTACATGTATTCGCTCTCATCCATTCATTTTCAATTCTACCTGGTCACGTATTCGTTCACCGTGTTCAGCAACGGGTATGATCTCCCCCGTCAAGTGTCTGTTGACTTCAGCCCTCCTTGCAACATGTGCCAACGCCCATGGCTGGCTGACCAAACCGGCGGCAGTCTACGATACACAGATGGACAAGTCGCAGTATATAGGAACGATCGAGTCGACCACATCAGGATTCAAAGGTACCTTTACCGGCGCACCAGCTGACAATGTCGCCGCTTTTACCAAGGCCTTTGAGTCCAGCAAGTACAAGTCGCTCAAGGCCGTTATCGATGACAAGGCCAAGATCATAGTGCCTGGTGCCACACTCACATGCGGTATTGCCGACCCGAAAGCCACTCCACAGCCTCTGCCAGCTAAGGTGGAGTGGTATCACTCCGAATCGGAAGGCTTCACAGCAACGCACGAAGGCCCATGCGAGGTTTGGTGTGACAAGGAGCGTGTGTTCCACGATGACAATTGTGCTGCCCACTACACTGCCGCACCGGCTGAATTGCCGTACGAGAAGAGCAAGTGTACGGGTGCTAGCTTTTTGACGATGTACTGGGTGGCAATGCATGGACCTAGCTGGCAGGTATATGTGAACTGCGCCCCGCTCAGCGGAGGATCAGGTGGAGGAGCTACAACGGAATCATCGGGTAGTTCGGCTACGACCACGGATGCTTCGGCTGCTGAGGCTCCGGTGGCCCAAACGCCACCATCAGAAGAGTCTCCATCCGCTCCAACCACGGATTCTTCCTCTGCTGACACGCCATCGGTGACTCCGGCTCCCGCCCCTGAAGGTTCGCAGTCTGTCACTCCTGCTCCTGCTTCTGAAGACTCCACGTCCGTTACTCCAGCTCCCGCCTCGGGCGATTCACCACCGGCCACTCCAGCTCCCGACTCGGGTGACTTACCGTCTGTCACTCCTGTTCCTGCTTCAGGAGACTCGCCGTCGACGTCCAATTGCAAAGTACGGAAGCGAAAGTAAGCACTTGAGTGTGTAGTACATGTATCGATGTAAGGTTCAAAAGATGTTTGGCGCTGTAAAGCTCTTTTGCTATGGTAGTGTTAGACTTGCTCAATCTTCGGGGTGCTGTGATGTAGGTGCAGAATAAGCGTGGGCATAACAGGACCATCACGTCCTGCGTAAAGGCTCCATACAAATGAAAGTAAGCAATACTTTTGCAAATTTCAGACAACTTTTGCCGCAAGTTGCAACTTAGTGTTGTCATCTTCCGTCAGATTCGAATCCATCATTCGGTGCCGCGCTACAGGCACCCATTGAACTATAAACTCAAGCCACTACCCAAAAAGCTAATCGTTGACATTTGGATATAATTATTCTGTTGTGCTTGGAGCCGTTGTAACAATTGGAGAACAACAAACTACCTTTTTGGCCTTCACTGCAGGCATAAAATCCAAAGTAGCATGCCATTCTCGATCCAGTAGTACTAAATATTACTGCATCGGTGCCTGCACAAATTACTGGCAACCGTAGTAGTAACAATCCAAACGTTGTGGATTGTACTGGTCACTGTAGTAGCAGTAGTAGTACTATAGAACTGGATTTTACTATCTACTGGAAATACTGGCAATCCCTTGGCGGCATCACGCCGATAGAGGGACTTTTTGGCCGAGCGACCAAAAAGTTGTGCGAGCTGTTGTTTTTTGTGGGTGGAAGCACATTGCGAATGTATCGATATCGGTCACTGGTTTCGTGATTCTGGCAGCTTTATTTTCTCTATCGCAGTCTGGTTGGGTAGAAGCTCGTGCAACACGCAACGGGGGAACGTGTTTTTTCACCGTGATTTCTGGTACGAGCTTGGTGCGCGGACGGACAATAAGCGAGCCGAACTGCAAGTGTTGACGAAGTATAACAGGAGCGAGAATCGACAAATGGAGACTGGTACTGAAGATATCGAGTGCGCATATGAAGATTAGAATATAACGCAGTAATTAATAGTACTATATTGTTAATGTATGTAGTGAACTGTGGGTTTCCACCTCGGTTTCACTTGCAGTTAGAGCTGGAGCTGAGGGTGTTCACACAAATGCGTCTACAGCCCAGTGGCTAGAGGACAATGGGTGGAAATCTGGCGGTGTGTCTGACGCCTGCAGGCTGACGACATCATAGGCACTTGGACAGCCAGTGTCCTTGTGTGCTGTACTAGGATTTAGTAGGGCTACTGCATGTTTCCTTTTCGGTGAATGCGTGTCCACTTTCTACTGCTGCCTGTCGCTCTGATCAAGTGGCAGCAGCATTGAGGAGGTACGGGCTGGCTAGTGTCAGACCCATGATCTTTCTCACTCTTCAATTTGCTAGGAACTAGCTAAATACATTCGGCCTCTACTTCTGTGCGGGTTGGCCCCCGCCTTGCTGGTCTTCTTACTTCGCTTCAAAATCCCGGGCTACACTACAATGTAGTAGTTCATGACATGAAGAGGAGTTTACTGCTACTACAAGTGCTTCATGGGGAGGACTTGCGTCATTACTAGTAACTACCAATATCGCTATTACAGACAATGCGAGGTGCGGCACCCCCGAGCAACAAGTAAACCATACTTGCCCCCGATAAGAAAGCACTTAAGTGCTGTCGCGCCAATATGTTTAATGTATGACTCGTCCTGACATGCGGCTTTGTGTAGTATACACCTTAAGTTTGTTTCATCACCCTGACGCTCAGGGCCCAACTACACGTACGTTCCTCCACTGTTATAGTATCTTCGCGTAACAACACGAGCCCTTAAATCTACCTAAATATTTGCGCTAGGTGCTGTACAGGCAGCACGGACATCCACGAGGAGGCTCGTCGGACGAGCATAAAAAAGTTTTTATTGAAACTAACCACGGAGAAGAGATCCTCCTTAAATTGGCCTGCTAGCCATTTTGCACTGTAAGGACAGCCAGCTACGGCTCCATTTGTCGGCGACGACACCAGCGAAGCACGGCCACACGGAGCGCACCCTACAGAATTGTCTAGGTGTAAAAAGACGTTTGAATGCCAAAACGTATACTAATACCTGCGTCGTTCTGAATTGAACAGTGCTCTTTATTTTTTTTTGTACTGCGGCCTGCCTCTTATTTGTCGCCCTGAGTTTTTCCAGACACAAAGAGAGGTTTCGGGCAGTTCCGTTGCCTTCACATCGATTTTGTGGCGTTCTATTTTCCTATTCGGTGGCTGTTATGAATCGTTTTTAGGTGTTGCGCCTTTCATTGGTTTTTCGCGGGTAGAGTATTAATTCTGGCGGAATTAGATTTATAAAAAAGGTTGTCAGCAAACATTTAATGCTAATTGAGCAAGAGATTGCGAGCTCTTTACCTACATCGTTAACCAGCGTGATAGATCCAATCGGCGTAGATACGCCCGGTTACAGCCGGAAAGGCGGCCAGCCAACCACCAAAACCTCCTTCATATCCAATTACTCGTGCTTGCTTAGCATATTCCGTCTTAAAGCTGGTTCACCATTCACGGCCTAAAACCGGCGGTGATGAGGCAACCCATAACTATTGTGCCTATATAACATAACGCACTCCGATTTAAGGTCCTACGTAGGACCTCTGCTGTTGCGATTGCGCCATTGCAGCTCGGAATCATCGCATTTGAGGCCAGCAAGCATATTTTCATGCGTATTGAAAAGACCTCCGTCCGAATCGGAGCTGCTAGACTCAAGCTGCACTGCACAAATCTTGTCCGGCATGTACATGATTACTCCACGATCAAGTACCCGAGATTCATTGTGGCGCTCGGAGCGTGCTAGGCATATGGAGAACATAGTATGCGAGGCCAGATTCAAAATTAGCTTCTTACTGCTGCGTCGCAGTTCAGAGATCAATTAGTTGTCGAGCTACGAGTCAATTCACTTTCTCATTTGCCTCACAAGCAACACTCTAACCTTTTCTACAACAATTCGTCTGCCTTTCAACAAGTAACTCTTCGTTCTCCAAGTTTACACCTTCGTCCACCGCGTTCTGCTGAGACTCCAACATTTGCCCCTTCGTAGGACCCCTAAAATTATGTTAACACCATGGTTCCAGATGTTGTAACATCCGACATCGACGTTTTGTTATGTTGTAACTTACGACATACAGCTAAGTTATCTTAGCAAATGGCTCGGAAATGATTTATCAATACTTTAACCAAGTATATTGCTAGATATAAGCTGCGAGAGGTCTACCAGCAACGAAACAAATTTAGGTCAGGGGAAGGGGGGTCCGGTGGGAAGTGGGTACTTTGTCACTCATTCGAGATTGAGCTGGATGGCGCACAAGCGATCCAGTCGCCGCGACAAACCCGCCGCCCCAGCAATGGCCGTACACGACGTTGACTTCGGACACCTATTGTGGTAGCTCAAGGCGGCAGGGTGGGTGTCTAAGCGGCCGACCGGATTCCAGACGCAGTGGTCATAGGCAAGTCCTCAGGAATCTTGTGTGTTCGTAGGTGAAAGTGCGGTCGTAGAGTACGCCTCCTAGTCAGGCTTGCTGCTTGAGGACACAGCGGAAGTGGCGGTAGAGGGCATTGCTGAGAACGAACAAGTACTAGAGGAAACCGGAAGCGGTGTGCAGCTTCAGAGCGCAGAAGGTGTCAATGGCGACGATATCACACCTTTCCAAATCGACGCCAGTACTCAGGTGTCGCAGAATACTATCGCCCAGATGTTTTCTGCTCTTTCATTAAGTCCGAGTGAAGCTTTCGCTGACTGCAGAAGCAAAAGCATTCAATCTCTCGCCGAGTGGTCTACAAGCCGACGTGGAGCAGCAAGATACTGCCGCTGGCATACGCATGCTGTCTGAGGCATCGGCATTGGAGAGTGAGAGGAGACGACAACCGTGTTGCACGCGCCGCTGTCCACATCGCGCCCAGGACGAGCTCGAATCCCGCTGTCACCTAATGACGACATCAACGTATTCCAAGACGGGGACAACAATAGTGACTACATTTCAGAAGAGAGCGATGGTGATGGCATCTCCGATGACAGCCATGATTTTGAGTACGGCGGGATAGACGAAGAGGTTGACGTACTCTCAGACAGTGATGCGGTCGAGATGGATAGAACGCTCCTGGCATCTCTGCAGGTTGGCAGCAGTACAGTGAGCAGGGCAGCTAAGGAGACGCGCAAGGAAGCACTTCGATCTATACCATGGACTCAGGTTTCGACAGAGCACGAAACGGATATAACTGCTTTCCCAGGACTGAGTCTAGAGGAGGCTAGACCTATTGGTGGGCATTTGGCGATCGCCAATCTTCATCCTCTTCTACTTCATGCCGAAATCCGTATGGTTACGACCACTACCGAAAAGAATCGTTACAACCTTCACCAAGTGGGTAAGTGTGTGGAAAGGATATTAGCGCGGGAAAATACCACTGCCGTGAGACTGTTGCTCAAACTACTCGTTGGTTTATGGCAATACAGGCATACGGCGTACGCGAGATTCTTCATGTCGTTGAGCTTATTGTCGCTCAGATGCTTTGCCCCCAGAAGAGGTGCTTCCCTGCGCACCGGTCCATGGTGGACGACGATGTCATTCCTGCTGGACTCTTTTGGTGGTACATGACCCTCGATAGATGTCAGCGTACCCTGCGCGATCTTCACTTCGTAGATAATATCGTCGTCGACGACCGCGACAAGCTGTGGAAGGTGCAGCCCGTGGTTGAGCACATCCAACAGCGCTTCTTGGCGAGTTGGTCTCTCCCTGCAGTACTGCCTACCACGTCGAGCCGCAACACCATCTGTAACTTCATGTCCGGCAAGCCTCACCGGCACGGGTCAAAACTGTTTATGTTATGTGACGCAAACACCGCGTACAACCACAAGTATTTATTTTGCTCTTTATTCAATTCGTAACTTACGTGTTGTACCAGCTCCTAACTGTTCTGTATGTGGTAACTTCCTCGATTTGAAGTTACGTAGGCAAGCACAACAATGATGACGGAGGTGACCCTGGCGTTTACTTCAAAACTGGAGCAGCAGCCGTCGTGCGGAACTTGAAATTTGCGCTCATTCCAAATCTACGCCACCCGTGGCATGCTGGTATCATCGATCGCTATTACGCGTCTGTGATTCTTGCCGTTGAGTTTCTAGAGATGCAAATCGATGTGATTGGAACAATTCAGACGAACCGCCTGGGTTTCAACAAAAACATCCAGTCTAAAAGCAAGACAAACCCGCCTATCATTCCCCGTGGCCCCTTTTCCTATTCGTGTTCAGTCGCCGTCCCGAGTATTTATCGTACCTCTGGTGGGATCGCAAACCGGTATACAACCTGTGTGCAGGCTCCGTTTGACGCCATCCAGTATTGAGAGGAATGTCAAGCGGGTTGGTGTGATTCGGGTCGGGTGTTCGTCAGCTGCGAATGACTAGCAGAACTGGATGGGCGGAGTCTATCGCCACAATCAACTCCACCCCCAGTCCGTCTCGCTTCAGATGTCGACGCGGTTTTCAAAATACTAAAAATAAACAGCCTATGTTTTGGCTTCCGTGACCTGGCGCTGGTAAACGCGTTCCTATCCCGCAAAGAGGCGGCCAAGACCAAGCAAATAGTAGCGATGAAACGCTCGGAGTGAATTTCCGTCCTTCAAACCCAGCACCTTCAACTAAAGGCCAAGGATTTGCTAGGGTGGAGGTAACACCACCTCAGTCCACCCAGATCGATATCACGCACCGGTCCTGCTTACCCACGCACTTTAGCAGTCTGGAGACTGGGTCACCGTCAGTGGCGTCCAAAAAAACCACCAGCTGTCTTGCAAAGTCTATGCGCTTTTGCGTACAGACAAGAAAAGTCGTACGCATCGTCATACTTTTCCAAGCGCTGCTCTACCGACGGCGCGAAGTGCTGGCTGTGCAACAGGATTCGCCGAGACTCCAAGGGTGTCGCCAAGACATGTTTTGAAACCTGGCACGACGACCTCGAAGTTGGCCAAGCAATTTCCCAGAACTTGGGGGGAGCAAGTTCTGCTGCGTCGGCTGGGTCAGAAGCTGGAAAGCGCAAGAAAACACGGCGGGAGCTCCAGATTCACCGTGACTTAGGTAGCGACGGCTGGAACAGCGACGACGACAAGAATGACGGCAACATAAGTGAGTCTTGGCTGCGTTTCAATTGATGAGGTGTTAGCCTCGTGTGGTTGAATGCAAAGTTTCTTGAGCTGACGCACCTTCTCCCTTGCTTTTCGAAATGAGTACCATGGCATTGTAGCATCTGAGCCATCTGTTGATTGGATTTGTCGATAGTTACGATATACGGTGGCGTCTACAGTCTCACGATGCCGTATGAGCTACGACATTGGCTGGGAAACCTGTTGAAAAGTTATATACTAATCCTCAAGGCAAACACATGGTCAATACAAATACCAAGTGCATCCAATGCCGTATCTTACACCATAAGCTTACGAGCCTTCGGCGAGTACCGTTCGGAGCCAACATGCTAATACACGGGGGGGGGGTTAACCACGCTTGCTGGCGCAACGACAGCCGAATGACATGAAATTGCATGCAATATAACACCAGGTTCTAAGTAAGAAAGGAAGGTCACTTTACCAAACAAACCCTTAGAATAGTCGGCAACATTTGAGCTATACAGCTGCAACGCCTTCCAAAGTACACAACGCCATGAAAAAGATCTTGTTCTCTCAAAACAAATTAAAACTTAGCTATTCAGTAGCTTTGGTTAACCCATACCATCGGTACCACACCCTTTGCACACGGTACCGGAAACAGAGTAGATTGCGCTCCGTAATCTCCACTTTATAGCTAAGTTTTAACGATTTCTCCACTAACGAGACATCCTGTCCGCTGACTTGGCAATTACTTTGGACAGTGGGCTCTAACCAAACTTTCCGAGGCTGTTGATGCGGCCAAACGGACGCGAAACCGTGAATGTGGCGATAGATAACAAAGTTTCATACAATTTTTTATTACGAATTTACCTCTCGTCACTTTCTTGACCTTCGCCACTGTCCAAGTCAACAGCAGAAGACAGATCTCCGACGTTGGCATCCAGAACATGGAGCTCAGATGAAACGGTAACTGTGGCATCATCTAGCACCAAACTCCGCACTCTCATCAGCTGACGGCGGAATAGGAGGCAATAAGGGGGCTTTCCAAAAGCCTCTCTGGATTGTCGCCTCCCTTAATTGATTCCAGCTTGCCTGTATCCATGTGCAAACGTTTGAGTGACTTGGAGCCTTCATTTTAAAGGTTTTCCACTGGTATTGCACACTCGAAGCTGCTCACGCAGCCGTTTTTAAACGGCTTATTTCATGCGATATCTGCCGGCTGACACACTGCTGTGCACGATGGCGGTACGTTCATGAGATAAACATCGATTTCTTTGGCGTAAGCCATCACATCCGGGGTCCAGTGCCCTGAAAAATCATCCACCAGTAGCAAAATAGGTTGTCTGGGCATTGAGCGATTTCCAAAGTTCCCTTTTAGGAATTCAACGTGAATTTGTGCTTTCCACCATGCCGTTGGGTTTGCGTAAAGTTGCAAATCCGTTTCCTCCATAATAGTTTTTGCTTCTTTCCAAACGTGAATTCCAAATCCTCGTCGGTACTTCCAGTTGGCTTCATCTCCACCGTCCACCGTAGAGCGTGAACTTTTCAGCACGACATAAAGTGGATACTTCATGCAGTCAGAATCTTCTAATAGCATTACGGAGAAGCGCTTTTTGTCTTTATCAGCACCACGCACCCATACAGTCATCGAACCAGTTTTTTTTATTGAGTGGGATCAAATTCGCGATGGCACCTGACACGTAGTACACATCCGAGAGAGTACGATCCTCTAGTCAACCTGTGACTTCGTTCACTAAGCGTAGCTGTACGGTACCAACTTGATTGTCATTCGCCGAGCTACCATTAGCACACCGCATCGTCTTCCCGCTAGTTATAGTCGAGATATCGGAGAAACACGACAGATCACCACAGATATTCACCTGTGCCCCACTATCAAGGCACCACTCTGTTCTAGTCGCGACCATACGAGAAATAGCTCCGTCGAGAGCAGCCATCAGCGCCATTGGTCCATTGCCGTCCACCCGTCGATTATCTCCTCGTCCTCCAGAATATGAACTACTACTGCGATCGCTGTGCTGATGGCGGTTGTGGCGACCTTGTTGACGGGATTTATGGTTATTACGTGGACAATCGCGGTACCAGTGACCAAGCTGATGGCAATTGGCGCATGGCCGCCTCTGCATCCCGCTTCTCACAGACTGGTGACGCCCTTGGTAAGGCCGAAACCTTCTGCCACGGCGACGTGTATCCGCCCGGTCCCTGTCACTTCGCTCATCTACCACTTGTAGTACTCGACTGTCCTGCCGCTGATCTGGACGATCGGTAACCGGAGTATTTTTCAATTCATGAGAGCTGCGCATACTTCGGTAAATACTCAAACAATACTCCTGTCATTTAAAAATAATTAGTGTTATGTTAAAATTTAAAAATAAGTACAAAAGTTGTATATAATTACCGGTTTGATCAGCGTTATACACCTTGGTGGCGCGTAGTTCCAGCATCTTTTGCTGCACGTCCACTGCGAACTTGATCGCAACTGCGTCTGCTTCCTATAGCGATACCTGGCCTTGTCTAGTTCGGGCACGAATACTCAGACGATGGCGCTTCATGAACCCTTTCCTCCAATGCCATGACGCCATGAAAGGTGATACATGGTAGTCCGTTGCAGTCTCCTTAGCTTGTAGCTCCAGCATTGTGGCGCTCACCGGAGCTCCGTCCTTCCTTAGAGTGTTTATCCACTGCACTAACTCACGTTCAGCATCTGCAGGGAGGATGGTTGCGCAGTAAGATGAGCGGACATACTTCAAACGAGCTAGACGAGGTGTCGCACACAATTGCGTTAGTTTTCGCGCACTTTGCGCCACTGGTAAAGTAGTTTGCTCTTCTGCTCTCTTGCATGGTCGTCAAGGCCGGAAAAAAAACTTGTCCAACGTCTCGTTCACGTTGTGGTTCTCAAAGTACAGTACAGTCTCGAGCTTCCTGCTATTGCTAAAGCAGGTCCGAGCATGTTTAAGCTCTTTACGGCCGTTACCCGTGACACGACGGCGACCAGGCGGCATCCGCGCCCCACGGTGACTGCTGCTACTGTTGCGAAATTGCAAATGACAATTTTGTGGTTGTGCTTTACTGTCAGGAAGCACATAAGGTGCGATGGTACGAAAGGTTCGGGTCTCTGATTGGCTAATAGCTCCTGTCAGTAAATGTAGTCCGTCGGTAAGCACATACGCAATACGGTAACACTCCCACTCACCGCTACTGCGCGGTGGCCTTGTTCTTGATGCCGGGTCTGCATCGGGCAGTAACACAAAGGTCTTCATTCCAAACGCCTTCATGAGCATGTCAGCCAGTTGGAAACTCTAACAAGGAACGATACGGCTTCAGCTGCATTTTGGAACATTCCACCTCCGTTATTGGCGACATACCTTTCGACAGCTTCACGCTTGACGTACATGGGTTCTCCACTGGCTTTGCGTCCTGCTGGTTGAACCGTTCCACAACGTCGTCGATGTACCTTGTCTACTTGGTCATGGGCGTTCCAACTGGAACGTCGTATTGATCTTCATACCTAGGATAAACTTGCCTTCGCCATACTTCTTGGCGTGCTTCAGTATGTCCTTGACGTCACGGATCGCCTCCCGTGTCTTCACAGAGATGATTAAGTCGTTCACGTAGAAGCATACATTCACGGAGCCAATCCTGGAACGCTTGGCGTAGACACATTGGTCGACTCCACAACACTTGAAGCTGTTCCAAAGGAGCGCGCGATGGATGGGTTTGTTCCATGCATTTGCCAATTGCCTTAAAGTTTAGATGGCTTTCTCCAGCTTGCGCGACATACCTTCACATTCTCCAGGCCGAGCGGAACCTCGATTTAGACCAAATCTATCAGGACGCTGTTTAGGAACGCCGTCTCAGCGTCCGGTTGCTCCAAGTGCGGCCGTATGCCACGAATACCGCTAGCACCACCCGAATCGATTTCATGTTGCAAGCGGTGAGTACGTTTCAAAAAAGTCTATTCCAAACTTCTGTTTGAACCCTTCGTAACCAAGTGCGCCTTGTTCGTCACGCTGCTTGGCGGGATTCAAAAGTCATAGTATTCTTATTAATTGCTGATTGCCCAAAAGTTTTCAGCATCGGTTTTGCGAATTTTTAAAGCTACGTTTAATTTATTAGATGCTTTAAAAAGTTATTAAATAATACATTGTTTGATTTTAACACATTAGTTTTAGAAATTCACATAAGCTGCCATGAAATCAGACTTGTTTACGAACAAAATGAACACAATTGAAGCCTTTATCCTATTAGAAGAAGATTGGTAAAAAAAAATATTAATCCAAGAGACGCCATTGTATCTCTGAGATACTATCTCATTTGAGGCACGACAAGTGGGAATGCGTCCAATCAGAACCCACCGTTTGCTCTTTTTCTGAAAGACTTCGCCAAGGTCATTAAATTAAAGAGAGAACGCACACCGTTTTTTGTCACCAATCTGACCAACCACGAGCGCATATATCCCTTTAATTTCATCTCTTTCAAAATTTGACTTTTTCCTTAACGGCAGTTTTTTCGTTTCGATAATCCAGGTTTTTCACTGGAAAGAAAACTAGAGAAGTAGTTATTTTTGTATGATATGTATGATGGGGCGACGGACCGAAACAGATTTGTATCGAAGTCGTGATGAAGTGTGTGCCTTTAGCGAAGCAGGATTAATGTCTAATATAAACCTATATTCTACCGTATAAACCTGTATTTTCATCAATAGTTTATGGGAGCACCTGAATCCACCAGGATTCGCGAAACGCTTCAGGCACCAGTGCTTTCCTGTTCGTGGTTTTTCGTGAGTGTAGCGCAAAGCACTAGTATACGCTGGTTGAGATCATGATAGCATAGTGCTCCTTCGATAGAAATCAAGGCTCCATTATTAAATTTATTAGGTAAATCATTACTTACCGTAAGATTGAGATCAGAAACAGATAGATTGTTAAAATTATAAAAGGTATAATGAGAACTAGTGTATGTTGATGGCGTTTCAAGTGCGGCCATGCGTACTGGCGGTGAATTATTTGCCGGAAACCGGCTGACACCATGAGCGTATTAACACCCCGAGTGCCAAGCTCGGGAGGGTGGATTGAATCCGTTGGGGTGTAAGGTCAGCACGGATCAATATCGAAGTGCATCACTTCAAGTATTAACGACTCAGCGTAAAGACTGCTTCCACGCCTTTGCGAAACAAGTTCCGTGGCAACTGCTGGTTTGAAGGGGGGTTTGGGCTTGCACAATCAAACCACAAACCAACGGTAATGACGCTAGATTGCACGTACTCTGGGGATTCCTTGGGATATTGTGACTATATATCTGTTCTTCTTTTTTTTTTACCGGAGAGATTTTATAATCCCCAACCGAAATCTCACATTCAAGTTTTTCTTCAACATCGCGCGTTTTAACACAGATAGTGACATACACCAATCATTTACAGTAGAGGTACGTTGTCTACTAGAAGCGCTATGTTTTGCCACATTGCACCTGGCTTGCCGAGATGTGTACGGTATAGTGGGTGTAGACATCGCCCCTACATTGTGTTGTTGAGCACCCACGCTGTCGTAGTGCGGTTCAAGATTTGAGCGGAGTTGCCACCAGCCTCTGCATTTCATTTGGAGTTTGTATTAGTCTAGTCCTTGAACAGATCCCAAGGTCACAACCAGCTGTCTTAACCCAAGCTCTCAAACTCGGTTATCTCTTCGTGGTGATTCACCACTGGTCATTACTCGTTCCTCAAGGATGCATGTAGTTCGCTAAAAGTGTATACGGTACGAAGAGGGATCAGTCTGTTCAGCTTGATCCTCGGTTCAAGTAATCAATCTACGAGCTGTCCTCACCAGTAGTGCTTTGTTAAGCTCTCTCGCCTTGCAAATACGTACAGGAGTCCACATCCTGATGTTATGCTAGCAAGGAAAGCATTAATGTACTAATAGTTCCTGGGTGTGCTGCGTTAACAAGAATACCGTTATTTGTACCCCACTGAAATGGAGAAGACATCGTAGCACACAGTCGAACTGTCCTTGTTCGATGTAAAGGCCATTTGCCGATCTAAATCCCGCTCAGGATTGCTGTTTTCTGTCCATCGTCGGTTTTACAATTATAAAAGTCACAAGTTGTGAATTTCGGATCCCAATGGCTTTGAGTTAAAACGAAAGACAGATTGTAGATAACAAAATCCTGACGTATGTTGTTCAAGACCAGGTATCAGCGACCAGATCTGCACCAGCAAGGTCGAAGCGTAAAGGGAGGCAATGCGTTCAACTTGAGTGAACTGGGATGTGCTCCAGTGATGCTCTCTTAATCTGCACAGTGGGCCCTTTGGTTGTTCGAAGCGATCGCATTCGGACACTCTCACCTCCGTTCATTTGAAATTTTACCTCGTCTCGAATTTTACTGTTCGCGTCCGGAAAAGAACATGGTCTCCCCTCTCAAGTATCTGGTGGCCTCATCCCTGGTGGTATCATGTGTCAGTGCCCACGGCTGGCTGTCCAAGCCGGCCGCTACGTTTAGCAATGAGGCTGGTGATAAGTCGCAGTTCATTGCGACTATCGAGGCTTCATCTTCAGGATTTAAAGGCACCTTTAACACCGCGCCGGCGGACAACGTGGCATCATTCACCAAGGCTTTTGCGACCAGCACATACAAGTCTCTTAAGGCGTTCATCGATGACAAGGCCAAGATCACCGTGACTGGCGCGACACTGACATGCGGCAATGCCGAACCAGACGCTACGGCACAGCCACTACCTGATAAGTTGGAGTGGTATCACTCCGAATCTGAAGGCTTTACGGCTTCGCACGAAGGTCCATGTGAGGCCTGGTGCGACAGCGAGCGTGTGTTCCACGATGAGAACTGCGCTGCCAACTTCAAGACTGCCCCAGCTGAAATGCCGTACGAGAAGAGCAAGTGCTCGGGTGCCAGTACGCTTACCTTCTACTGGATGGCCATGCATGGACCGACCTGGCAGGTGTATGTCAACTGCGCCCCGCTCAGCGGCGGCTCGGGTGGTGGTGCTACAACCCAGTCGTCGGGTAGTTCGGCTACTACCACCGACTCGTCCTCTGCCCAATCTCCAGCGGCGCAAACGCCATCGTCTGGAGGGTCTCCGTCCTCCCCGTCGACTCCGACTACGGATTCTTCATCTGCTGATACTCCGTCGGTCACTCCAGCTCCAGCATCCGGTGGCTCGCCCTCGACGACACCTACATCGGGTGGTTCTCCATCGGTCACTCCAGCTCCCGCTTCGGGTGGGTCGCCGTCTACTTCAACAACATCTGCTCCTTCAACGCCCACCACGGATGAGTCGGACTGCGGTTCGTATGATGTTGCGGGCAGTGATGAAGACTGTGGGTCTTACGACGTCGCTGGTGGAAGCGCTGACGAAGGCCAAGATACGACGCAAACGAGCACCGGTGGTAACACTTACCAGCAGGGCTCAACGACCACTGGCGGTAACACGTACCAGCAGGGCTCGACGAACACCGGTGGTAACACAAACCAGGGGTCGAACACCGGCGGGAATACCAATCAGTGGTCGAATACTGGTGGGAACACGAACCAATGGTCGAATACTGGTGGGAACACGAACCAATGGTCGAACACTGGCGGGAACACGAACCAGTGGTCGAATACGGGCACTGGGTCGCAGCAGAACCCGTACCAGGGAACAGGCGCAGGCTCGCAGAACAGCTTCGACTTCAACACTTTCCAGGGCACCACGAATGCTGGCACAGTGGCGCCGCAGTACATGTAGATGTACTGGGTATGAAAGACCGTCTTCTTTTGCGTAAGTGTAGTGTACAACAATGGTCAGAGAACCAAACACCACGATGCGGTAGAGTGAAAATATATGTGTTGGTGTAAGCATTACCTTTGAGTACAGTATCGCTATTTATTTTAATCCCGGTTAAGCTTAGGAGATTGCAAAGAAAAAGGCAGCAAATCTCGATAAAATTTTGACAAAAGGGTAGCAAATGACACCAGAGAAGTGCTACTTCCAGGGTTGACGTTAGTATTATACAACGATAGTAATAGGCTTCAGCAGATGTTAACTTACTTAGTATCACTTTTAGTTTGTACTACTACTGAAGTAGAATAGTAGTGCGACAGTCGTACCAAAATACTATACTATACGATAAGAAAATCTGCCGAAGCGAGACATTCAAAGGAATAGCTCGATGCTCTCGAAATGTGGTCACTGACGGAATTTGAGCATGCGGAGCACGTTCGATAGTAACTACACACAACATGTAAGTGCATGCGACAAGTCGCAGCTACAAAGTGATTTTCATTTGTTGGGAGTCGGCCTACAATATCATTAGGTATTGACAATACCAAATACAATTGTAGCTACAAACCGTGAGGGGGTGCCGTGGTGCCTGCTAAGTTCGCGCGGCGTCTACAAAAGTACACTGCAAAATGCAAATACATGGCGTCTCTTAAACCCCTAATGTACAATCCTGTAGTGCTCTAAATGCAAGAGTTGCTGAGTTAAGCTCGCGTCACTCTAAATGATTATTCATGTGGCTGAGCTAAGCTTGCCGTCTATCTAACTTTTATTCCATAGCATATCGCTTATGCAGCAAGTCTGCCTCAGGCGTAATAGTATTTTAGCCATCACACAGACATTCGTAGTCGCTGACAATTACCGCGGTGAAGCGAGTGCTTCTCCTTCCAGGATGTCTACCTCTGATTAGATAAATGTTCCACCTGTGTTAATCAGTAAAAGATAAAAACGAGTGCTTCGGTCGACAAGTCAGTCATTGGATGCATCTCCGAGCCAAGACTCTCTTAGATCTCTCGCAGCGTAGTATTTCAGATTTCATGAGCCTATCCTGACCGCAGCCTGTGGCACAGGGGTCCCGGAACCGGTCAGTACAGATCCCCCGCGCATCCCGGAGGAGGCATAGCAGCATCTCTGATCCCCGTTGGAGGTCTATATCACAGTGGTGCAAGTCTTCAATAATCCCGCCTTCCACGCAGAGGCATGTGTTTCCGATTTTCGAGTTGTTGGTCCGAACCAAAGATATTGCTTATCTGTGAAACCAAGCCCATGGCTCATTGAAAGCAAAGGAGGGGGCTATCGAAGATATTGGACACATTGGCAATGCGAAGCCTGGGCTCAGAACCCGCTTGAAATAATTGTTTTCCATCCTGTGAGTGGAAAGTCGAAGTGTGTCTCAACCAAAATCTTCTTCCTAAGTAAAATCAAATATTAACATAGTAGTATTTATTTTCTAAGCAAATGATTATTCAGTGCAGAGTAAACGGGTAAAAAAAAAAACAAGACGCGACAAAAAAAACGAGAAGCCTTTCTGATGGGTTTTCTCTAACCACAGCGAAGACTGAGGTATTAACTCTTTCAGTACCGTTCACTTCTATCGCTTTTATGGGTCCTAATAGACCTGTAGTGACATGAATACCACAACATCATTGGTTAAAATAGTTCCGTATGGTTAGGTGTGGCACGAGCGACAAATTTAAAGGTCCAGTGAGACCTGTAGTGTTCTTCGAAAACGTGTAAGAGCTCAACTCTACCGATGTTTTAGCCTAATAGTTGCCCTGTAAGGACACCGAATTACTACACAAAACTGATTCAGTTTTGGTACAGCATTCGGTATTGGTACCACATTAGACCTTGGTACAACATTCAGCATTTATCAGAAGATTCCGTTATGCATAATAAATAAATCTATCCCCGCCCCGAAGCGCCGAATAAGCAGGAACAAATTAACATGCAAGTAGTGCGTGTCCGGGCCAAGGTGACAAGTGTCCGTCAGTGTTGTGTGTACTGTGTTGTGCGTGTCTGTTGCCATGTGTGACGAGTGTCCGTTGCCATGTGTGACAAGTGTCCGGGCTTTTCAGCAACTCGTCCGGACCGAATCCACCATTGAAGGCTACGTCGGGGGACATAGCACATCTCACAAACTCTAGTTGCTTGGAGACGTCTTGGGTGCTCAACTGGAGGCCAAAGCTGAAACACGCATAGTACGCGACAGCTATGCTCCAGACATCTCTGTTCATTCCCAAAGTTCCTTTGATAGAATAGCGCCGATGATTGAGCTCCTTGATCTCTTTGTGGAGCTGATGAACGTCGTCCACGAGCACAACCATGAAAGCCGCTTGTCGTTGTCGATATTTTCTTTGATTTTCACGATGCTTTTTCCTCTGCATCGCTTCACTGATGCACAGCAAGTCTACTAGACTCGGTAGATCTGCGTTTTTTCTAATTGATATGGAGTTGATTTTGGCCACGTATTGATCTTGATTTATTTGTCGTCTCCAATCATTTCTTGGTGACTTATCCCGTTTCCTTTTCTTTTCTGTTGGAGCGCGCTCATCTTCAATTGTTGCCACGCTAGCGTTTATTTCTGGAGTTGACAGAGAGCGATTTCCAGGACTGGATTCCAGGACGAAATTCACCATTTCGATATTCTCGGAGCGGGTAATACGTTGGGTAACACTGCCAATGACGTCGTCGCTTAGGGATTGCACGTTCGGAGGATAGAGAGCACTTCGTGACATGGTGGTTATGTCTTGAGCAGTAAAATGGAAATGGTGTTTCTTCATTTTTGCTACGTGTTTGCGAGTGTCATGCAATGACGAATCCAAGCCGATGACGATGTACAAACTGTAATCATTCGATTTTTGCTAGAACGGTAACTTACATTGCCAGGACACCTACGTACAGTAGGCAGGATTCCTGTTACTGCGAGCGAATCACAAAATTGCAGTACACTGTACTGTTGAGGGATTGCCAGTTGGGTGGACACAGAATACTTCGCGACATGGTCGATTGTTTTGTTCAGCAAACGTTGAGTGACTTCTGTTGCGTCGGCTCCGAAGAGAGGTTTGTTTACGTGTTTGGGTGCAGTGACGCATCGATTAATGATTACACTGGGCAGTCTCTAATCATTCGATTATTTTACTTTCGTGTGTAACGTAAGGAAGCCTACCTACAGTAGGTAGACTTTACATGTATTGTATCCTAGTGTTTATCTTCCTCGCGTCTTGCGACTACAGAATAATAGTCAGACCCGCCCTCGGGCTTACTACAGCGTCGAAATATTCAAGCCCTTACCACGGAAGGTCGAGACCACCGAACTGCTTGTCAGCATTGAAGAACTTTCCCGTGTCCTTCATGGATAGGTTTGCCACGATGTTGGCCATCGCCTCGGCCGACTCGGAAGGCTTCAGATAGCCTTGGTGGTTATTCATATCAGTGTCGACATATCCGGGATTCAGCACCACAAACGCAATGTTGCTGTCACGCAACCCGACGGACATCGAGCGACTGACCATGTTGAGAGCAACCTTGGACGCGGCGTACGTGTACGATTGTCCGAAGTATTGCTCCATGTCGCTCGTGTTGCAGCCGATGCTACCTAGGAAAGATGATACTTGAGCAACGGTGGCGCTGCCGTGGTTCTTGGCAGCCAGCTCTAAGTTAGGCAAGAGCGTGCGGGTTACGAGGAATGGCCCGACAGCGTTCACCTCGAACTGGCGCATGAATGAGTCCTTGGTAGCGGACTTGAGGTCGTCGCCGATGTAGATGCCGGCATTGTTAATCAGCAGATCGATTGGCACACCCTCCAGTTGACGGGCTGCCTCGAGTATAGAGGCTTCATCACTCACTTCCATTACAACAGTCTTGAAGGGCGAAAGAGCCATAAGCTAGCCGGTATAGAAGGTTGTGCAAGTTAGTACAGCTAACATGGCTAGTATTGCTATCGGGCATAATATGGTATATTATACCAGATCTGTGTTGTTGTTGGCACGCGTCGTTCCCGATGACATTCCACCCTTGCTTGGTGTAGTATTCTGCCAAGGCGAGACCGATGCTGCGCGTACTGCCCATGATGAGAACTGTCTTCTTGGTGGTGGCCATGGTTAAAGATGTTGGGCTCGACGAATCTTTGAAGTGAGGTAAGGCATCCACAACCATGGTCATGTACAATGAAGTGGGCATGGGCCCTCTTTTGGTCAAATAATCTATTGGACGAATAACTACAGTAGGCGTGGCCGCCGTGAGAGTTGAGTGCCGTAGCAATGCATAGATCGTCTTGCATACTACCTGAAGTTCCTCAAATGTTAGAAGTATGGCCCTGGCCAACGCCATGATAAGAACTTGGTCTTGCGATCAGTGTTAGCTGTAGCTAAGGGGCTGCCAGCTAATTTATTGGTGATTCCGATTATGCAGTCAACTGGAAATGAACTTTTTTTTTTCCAAGATCAAAGGCCAGAAATTCAGCTCTCGTGGAACTCTCACCACAGTAGATCAAGTCCGCTTGTCGTTGTTGAAGAACTATACAAACGTATCGATCCTTCACGTGCCAGCAATTCGACAAGACTATATAAAGGAATTGGAGTGCTTACGTAATACGATTGGCTCACGTAACCAGACAGTGGGTCCGACGAGGCTGCAAGCTGCAGGTGAGGTATTGCGATCGATTTTGTTGAATAACGGCTAAGATGGTGTACATCAAGAATACGCATCTTCCTCACACGGCACAAACTCGTTCTTGAATATGAACCTGTGTGTTGCTAAGGCCATGCTCTCATCCTGACCAAAACTGTTGAAATGGAGTCGTCAGTTCCACTTAATACATATTTGTTGGGACCACAGAATGATCGATTGGTATATGAGCGAACATCTAGATGGTAGATATAGACTGTGAGAAACTGATCAAGGCTCATTACATCAGTTATAATCTATTCCGAAGTATCTGCTACTTGGACAACTGTAGACACTAAACCAGATTATTCGAATAGACATTGCGGGGCAGTATAATCGCTGTAGACGAAATCGAAAGTGAGCTGCAAACAACTTTAAAAACACAGACAAGTATAGTTGCTAGTAGCGCTAACAGTTAGTGTGTCGTACGAATGTCATATACGTCTGGGGCACATGGCTGGTCACTTTAGTTATCATATTCTTCAGACTCCATCAATCCCATTAAACCCATCAGTAATTTCAACAATATTTATTTGGTAGTGGAAAAAAAACACTGTTTTGGCATTACAGTGTTTTATGGTGAGTATTTCCACTGGAAATCAGGAGACACAAGTCCTTGATCAAATACCAATGACACATCCTTTAGGTTACCTAGTAGGTGGAAAATCGGTGTCAGCATATCGTTGTCGCTATTCACGCTTGCCATAGAGTTGGTGACGCTGTCCCATCGAAACACTGTCCTGCCATCCATGACAATTCGTTGATCGAGAAGTTTGGTCGCCAAATTGGTTCTAACAGAGTAGTATTTCCTTTCGCCCTCCCACAAATGCGGAAACAGATTGCACAAGGTTCGCTCCGTGATCGTCACGTTAGCCCTCGTGATCATCACGACACAGTGCTCGCTCTGCTTGACTAACCTCATTAGATTCACTTCCACGTCGCTGAACCACTGAAAGACACTCCAGCTTTTCAGCAACTCGTCCGGACCGAATCCACCATTGAAGGCTACGTCGGGGGACATAGCACATCTCACAAACTCTAGTTGCTTGGAGACGTCTTGGGTGCTCAACTGGAGGCCAAAGCTGAAACACGCATAGTACGCGACAGCTATGCTCCAGACATCTCTGTTCATTCCCAAAGTTCCTTTGATAGAATAGCGCCGATGATTGAGCTCCTTGATCTCTTTGTGGAGCTGATGAACGTCGTCCACGAGCACAACCATGAAAGCCGCTTGTCGTTGTCGATATTTTCTTTGATTTTCACGATGCTTTTTCCTCTGCATCGCTTCACTGATGCACAGCAAGTCTACTAGACTCGGTAGATCTGCGTTTTTTCTAATTGATATGGAGTTGATTTTGGCCACGTATTGATCTTGATTTATTTGTCGTCTCCAATCATTTCTTGGTGACTTATCCCGTTTCCTTTTCTTTTCTGTTGGAGCGCGCTCATCTTCAATTGTTGCCACGCTAGCGTTTATTTCTGGAGTTGACAGAGAGCGATTTCCAGGACTGGATTCCAGGACGAAATTCACCATTTCGATATTCTCGGAGCGGGTAATACGTTGGGTAACACTGCCAATGACGTCGTCGCTTAGGGATTGCACGTTCGGAGGATAGAGAGCACTTCGTGACATGGTGGTTATGTCTTGAGCAGTAAAATGGAAATGGTGTTTCTTCATTTTTGCTACGTGTTTGCGAGTGTCATGCAATGACGAATCCAAGCCGATGACGATGTACAAACTGTAATCATTCGATTTTTGCTAGAACGGTAACTTACATTGCCAGGACACCTACGTACAGTAGGCAGGATTCCTGTTACTGCGAGCGAATCACAAAATTGCAGTACACTGTACTGTTGAGGGATTGCCAGTTGGGTGGACATAGAATACTTCGTGACATGGTCGATTGTTTTGTTCAGCAAACGTTGAGTGACTTCTGTTGCGTCGGCTCCGAAGAGAGGTTTGTTTACGTGTTTGGGTGCAGTGACGCATCGATTAATGATTACACTGGGCAGTCTCTAATCATTCGATTATTTTACTTTCGTGTGTAACGTAAGGAAGCCTACCTACAGTAGGTAGACTTTACATGTACACATTAATAGGCTCTAAACAATACTTCGACCGAACACGAGTTTGTACCGTCTCATCTAAGCAATGCTGGACACAGTTCTTACGACACTGCGCAGTACCAGTTCAACACAACGACTTGTGGGGAAAAGACTTCGAGTGCTTTTGCTGCATATACTTGACAGACATCGTAATCACACATAATCGAAATTAGTAGTGTAATCATTTAGCGATTGGATATCGATCACCACAGGTAAGGCATCGTCTCCCTCATTCCACAATTTGGACTCTCAAGCCCAGTTCGCCAGTCGTTCCATCATTCTAGCATGAGTTCGCTCCAATTGTTTGTATTGGTCGTGTTGGGGCTATGCTGCGCTGCAGCCTCATCCTTAACCAACGTCGACCCAACCAATATCTATTTGGATACTAATGTGATGGTAGCTGCTGACCACAAGCAAGGCAAACGATCTCTGCGTCAGTACACTGCCTATGACCTGGATGAAGGTGATTCCGAAGATGAAGAGAGAGGAGTTAATATCTCTGAACAGCTGGACGGTGTACTATCGAAGGTCGACGATGCAGTGGGAAAAGCAGGTAAAGCTCCAAGCAAACTGGATGCTTTGATCATGAAGAATGTCGACGAATTTGCAAAATTTGCAGACGAGCATGCGAGACTATCGAAAGAACTGTTTGGTAAATACCCACGTGCTAACGAGTTAAGCCTCTCGACACTGAGACAGCTGGAGAAGATCGAAAAGGTGAGGGAGATGGATATCAAAAATGGCCTTAAGGGTAACAAGGTTGAGCCTGATGGCATGCGAAGAAAAATTGTGCCCTTTCCCGGCATGAAAATAGCACCTGAACAGGACCTGTTATCCAAAGTTGGCCGTGATACGGAACATTACAAAACGGTTGGTGGTCGAGCGTTGGCAGCCGGCATTGTTACGCGGACTAACGGGAAAGGAGAACATGAAATCCTGTTGATTTCGAGTTCGAATCCGGAAAAATATGAATTTTTGATCCCTAAGGGAGGTGTGGAGAAAGGCGAGGAGGTTAGAAAGGCTGCGGTGCGAGAGGTCGTCGAAGAAAGCGGAGTACGTAGACTTTTCCGTTAAATGTGCACCAGTTGCTGACTTGTGGTATTGCAGGTGAAGGCTGACATTGTACGTGAATTGGATAAGATCAAAATCTCCGAAGAGAAGTCGATCCAGCCTTACTTGATGAAAAGCGACGTTGTCTACGACGATTGGTCCGAGAGCTTGCGTCACCGCTTGTGGGTACGTATGGCCGGAGATTATAACAATATTTATGAGGTCTGAGCGTGCGATCCTTGCTGTCAGGTTCCGTACAAAGACGCGATCAATCTGCTGGACAATCGCCCCCAAATGCTCGAGATGGTGAAGGGAGCGAAAAAACACATCGGTTAATTGAAAATCAAGCTTGGACGAGCTAAGTAACAGCGGCAAGACCTTACGGCAAGCATCGACCTTTGGTCTTACTCCCACTGTTACTTGTGTCCTAACATAAGAAATATGTTTAGATTTTCGCTGAAGTTAATGTTTCAGCTGATTTTCACGCAAGAGCAAACTAAATACATTCGGTACATTGACCTCACCTAGCATAAGCTAACGACATTTGATGTCGCATCTTGAAAAAAAAATTAGGTCGTCGAAAATAAGTGTAGCCTTCGATATCGCAGCTCAAAGTACACGATTTCTCCAAAGCTCACTTTTTTGCTCAATTTTAACTACTTTATGGTTAGCAGCACCACCATAATAAAATAAATGTGCTGGAACTTAGCTTAAGGAAGACTAGGGCTTCGCAAAGGCTGAGATAGGAATCGTCGATTACAAAATGAAGTAGCATGGCTTAGCTCCGGTGAGTTAGATGTATTAGCACAACCATAGTAATGTGGACATCTCACTCTGAGTGATGTCAAAGTTCTCGCCTCGCCCGATAAAATTTAACAAAATCTACGCACCGATGGGTTTGGAGTGATATGATATCGGTATACTGGTCCGTTTAATTAAAAGAAATACGCTGTCGGTATACCAGTGCGTACAACTACGTGATTTGGGCTTGTAGCTCTGAAGGCCGGGGAATATCTTAGAGGTGCGAGGACCCCTCACTACGAGCCCGTGAGTATCATGGCTGCGTGAAATCTGGGTAAACATCTCACAAGTTTAGCAGCTTTTAGATTACAGTTTTGATACATTGCTGTCATGACAGCAACCGTCTTTTAAAACTTACATCATATCTTAAAATAATATTGCACACATCCTCCGCACCGTTTAGTGATATTCCGCTAAATATTCATATCATTTTTCTCCATTTTTCTATAGTTCCGACCAAGTCATATTTTGATAGATGGAGAAGTTTAGTCTAAAATCGTACATCAGACTTGTTTTAAACCGAACCAACCGAAACCATTGCCTCAGATTTTTTTTTTTTTTGGAAGTGGGGTAGCTGCAAGGGTCGCCGCGGCTCCGAATTGGCCGGACTCGCAAATTCTTACCTTTAACCAGCAGCTTAACGGTGAACCCACGAATTGGCGAGCGTTGCGAATGAGCGCGGAATGCAACTGCAGCACTCCGCATCGGTGGAAAGGTGAAGCGGCATGAAGGGACCAATCAGCGTCAGATTGCTCGCTAAAATGCAATGGTTAACTATTGGTGGTTTGTATCTAAACTTCCTCCTGAACAGCACTATTCAAAACTTATTCGCATGTAATAGCTTAGGTTAATAGTCGCTTTTACCGGCGTAAATCAATCTACCCTCGCGAATGAAAGTAAGTATTACTGTGGTCCCGTAGTCCTTAGCTACTGCATGGGGGCAGCGAAGCGGGGCAAGCGCATCAGATAAACAGGACCTATCGATTTATTTCCTGTTTAAGGCAAAACGATCATATATGAAGTTAACTCCGCTTCTTGATAACTAGTTAAAATCCATACGAATTTAAAAAATACATGTATGGCTATACTTGCTATTTGTATTGCATGAATTGTGTGTAAAACACAACAGACGAACAAGAACTATAATAGTCCCTGTTGGGCTGTACGTTTCCTTCGTACCGGAGCACTATCAGTGTTAATAATCTGCCATTGGCTCGTTATACAGTACTTCGCTGCTTCTTATCTCCGTAAGAAAGGTTTTATTGATTGTCTCAACTAAAAAAAGTGGCGGTACTTAATAGCACACACAACAGAAATCCGGATAAAATCCGAAAATAATAAATGACGGATAAATTGCTAATGCATGTTTCATTACTACATGCAAGTCTAAGGATCTCCATTGCAGTGCTTTTCTGGATCAAAATATAAATAATAAAAATGCACCATTCAACAACTTTCGTGACGATTGCTCATACATGTAGTAGGTGGTCGTTTCGACAACACCACCAAGATTTGAGTGTGTTGTCGAAATCTGTTTTTAAAAAATGATAATAATAATACCACGAAATTGGTCAATATCTGCGCTCAAACGCCACGCAGCTGGGACTTCCGTGTTAAGCCGGAGTGCTTAAGTCCATATTTCGTAGATCCGCGTTTTGCGGTTCCCGTCTTGGCACGTGTACTAGAAAGTTAGCCATCCTCACAACTCAGTGAGTTGGACTCACAGCAACAATGAACACAAACTCATGCTTAATTCGAACTTCCAATCACAGCTCCCACAGCTCATACTGTTTTTGCAACTGGCGTTGTCTATTGCGAGGCATTAGCGTATGGTGTCGAGTACTCGTGTTGGTTCTGCAGCTGATACACCATCCTCGAACGTTGTTGTTGCTGAGTCGTGACAACCCGTGCTTGATCGTCACAGCTGACTGCAGTTTGCTCAGCAAACTTTGCTGAGACGGCGTATGTAAGCAACGCAACATCCGGAGAGCTTCAATCTCTAAAAGTAAGTGTATCGATTCGATCGTCAGCCTTGTTTAAGCCCTTTGTGGGAAGAGGAATCATGCGAAGCTCGAACTAGTCCCAGGACACAGCACTTCCCAGCGAGCTTAATGGCCTCCACCACCTATTCACTGTCAAGTTCACCGGATGAGGCGTGTGTGTAATGAAGCTTGGAACGGAAAGTAACTTTCTTGATTCCACTAAGTTCTATACCCTTTGTGTACCGTTCAAATTGCTCGATAGTTCTTGCTGGAAGTATTAATAGGTCCTCACCTCTTCAGCTCCAGTAGCTTCACTGCCATTCATTTCACCAGAGATGGTCAGTTTACCTGTGATGATTTACTGTACCATTGCCTAGGTCGATTCGGTGGGACCAGTTACCGAGCTGCGATTGAAGTGCCCGCCCGAGCTATTTGGGGAGGAAGAAAAAAACACAATGCTTGCCTGGATAAGACAGTCGGTTGAGTTGCCTCGTTGATTACGATCGGCCCCGCGCAATCCTTCTGGCTACAACAAGATGTGGGTTAACCCTTTAGCCCTTTTAACCCTTTAGCCTTTTAACCGTTTAGCCCTTTTAACCCTTTACTTACCATACTACTGCATGAAAAGACTGAAGCAGCAGGCATCCCCATGTCGCTGCATTGGCAAGACCGTCGGCAGGCGCGTGTATCGTACACACATGTACACTTTCGAATCAAGGCACGGGTGTCTCGCACAGGCAACGCTTCTACAGTAATGAGCTTCCTTGTCCAGGCTGATCCCGGGATGTCGCACGAAGGTGGCTGTGAGCTAGTGGTGCAAACAACATAGACTATAAAAAAGCAAGTGAAGCTCTCCAACCTTTAATAAAGGCGCTTCTTATCATTTTGGACCAAGATCGTCAAATGTACGGCATGTGTATATACCGGATTCGGATTATGGGTCTCGACATACCGCAATCTCTGCTGAAGTTTGTATTGTCTCCTCGCACAGAGCAGATCCCTAGATTTTTTAAAAACCAGCTGGGATTGGGCAAACTTGAACTGACGCGAGTCCCCCAGCACCTTAATCGTTACACGCACTATACTTTGTCAGCTCTTACTTGTCGAGGAGAGCAACGAAATTATACAGAATTGAAACGCTGATATATCTGTCGTCGTTGGTTTCACTGTTGGACAGTCACCCTGCATTGTGTACGTCTTGCCTGTACCTGTTTGGCCATAGGCGAACACTGTGCACTTGCACAGGTAGACGAGAGTCGAAAATCCCCTTGATCAGCATCGTCACTCTATTCGGAACAGCATTGCTTATACGCGTACCTTTGAAAAGTAGTGAAAATCCAAGTGCGATGCTACGCTATTATTTTCACTACGAACCCAGCGACGCCACCAGAAGTAACATATCTTTTCTCCCCTGTGTCTTCGATTGGTAAGGCTCGCTAGCTTAGTCGCTGACGCTGGATGAAGTCGAGAACTACTACACCAATACTCGTTTCTTCAACTGCACACTTGTACTTAAGCACTCGCTCAACATGTCGTTGACGGCTTGATTCTCAGAAATGATTCGTGTTCGTAATCTTTAGGGTACACACAATCTCCAACGTAAAGGAGATTCGTCGAGCCAGGTGGTACTTCGGAAGATCCTCTGTTCGCGAGTAAATCCCTGGCTTTGCGGTAGCTCGCAGCATTGCAGTGGTGCAGGCGTACCTACGTACAGTACGGTATTCATTGGACCTCTCTCCTGTATTTTGAAGGCAATGCCTCCGCAATTTGTGTCTGCGAGGGGAAAGGCTGGTTCTGCATCAGCATGAAGGAGAGGTAAAGGGGGCCCCACCCAGCTCGAACAGAACAAGATTTGCTTTAAGCTTACTTTGCAGTGCAAAGTGAGCATCCTAAGCGAATAGTTTACGATCATACTCTTTGGACCCTCTCATTCCTCAATTCTCCACGCTTTGGTTCACAGTTCGCGCTATTTGGAATAGAAAAATGCCAGCTCCTTTCAAGTGTTTGCTAGCTTCGGCGTTGGCTGTGAGTGTCGTCAATGGCCACGGCTACATGACGGACCCGAAGGTGAAGTTCACTGCTCAGGCAGGCGATCCGACACAGTTCATCGGCTCTATCCAGGCCTCCGACTCGGGTTTCAGTGGCACTTTTAACGGTGCTCCAAAGGACAATGTGGCAGCTTTCACCAAGGCATTTACGTCTAGCAAGTACAAATCTCTCAAGGAATATGTCACTGACAAGGCCAAGATCATCGTAAGTGGTGCCACCCTCACTTGCGGCTCTTGTGATCCGAAGCAAGAACCACAGCCCATGCCCAAGTCCACTGTGGAGTGGTCGCACTCAGACTCTGAGGGTTTCACTCCCTCGCACGAAGGACCATGTGAGGTGTGGTGCGACGACGTCCGTACGTTCCAGGACGACGATTGTGCCGCCCACTACACTATGGTCCCTGCTGAGATGCCTTTTGATCGGGATGCCTGCATGGGTGCCAGTACGCTTACGTTCTACTGGATGGCCATGCACTCGTCAAGTTGGCAGGTGTACGTCAACTGTGCCCCGCTCGCGAAGACCACCTCTACCGGCGCTAAGTCAAAGTATGATGTGGGTAGCACTTCCTCAACGGCACAGTCGAACAGCACATCTAGTGCGTCAAGCGATACCCCCTCCACCCCGACTGCTGAGGCCCCCACGACCCCCTCTACCCCGTCCTCCGGTAGTTCTACTTCGTCAACCACGGCACCCTCTACCCCGTCGGAGACTACCGCTCCGTCTTCGCCTTCTCCCACTAACGCTCCGTCGCCAACTGACGCTCCGTCGGCACCTTCACCTACTGACGCTCCGTCAACACCATCGACCACTACTGCTCCTACCACGGACGAGTCGGACTGTGGCTCGTACGATGTCGCCGGCTCCGACTCGGACTGCGGTTCGTATGATGTCGCCGGCGGCGGTTCCGAATCGGATTGTGGTTCGTATGATGTTATGGGTAGCGAGTCGGACTGCGGATCGCTCGACGTTGCTGGAAGTGGAGATGTCAATCAGGGTGCTGGTTCGCAGACGAACTTTGACTTCAGTACGATGCAGGGCGCGGCTGACGCTGGCACGGTGGCGCCGTACAAGTAGATGAAGGAATTTGTGGACAACTGGAATCTCAATGTTTAGTACCGTTAGCATAAACTTGTGACTAAACCTCGAAGCCACAATAACCAATATACGTGTGAATGTTCAAGTGTGAAGCTGCGTTGCCTATCTTTGCCTGGGCGTGGCAAGCGCTTTTCGTTGGTGAAACTTGTGTACATCAAAAGCGAGGCGCACATTTTGCACGACTAAGAGTGTAGTATTTCGTAGGCGAGCACACGGTTAATCCGCGTCCCACTTCGACCCGCTAACGCAGGAGCTGTCGTGATGGCATCCGTCGTCTGCTGTCCGCGAACGCCCTCATGCAACTTCTGGATGCTATTGATACGCACTGCACGTTGCATACCGTAGCAAGGTGGCCACGGTGGCCACCACCTGTAGAATCTTGGTTGTCGTGACCCCGATGTCGTCAAGTCGAACACTGTCATCTCAACTCTGCTACTGCGCCTCACATCGGTGTCCAATATCTCTCGCTGATTCGCTAATGTGTCTTCGACGTCGTACAAGTAGAACTGACCAACACTATCCGGCAGTCTGCCAGTAGGGTGAAGATCACGAGATCGTGCTCCCAATCTCATCAGCACCGGGGGCCACGTTGAGCGGCAGTCCCGGGTGCGACTACCGGAACCCATTTCGATAGTCACAGCATCGGTGGGACCCCGGCACACTGTGCAAGTTGCAGCTGTTTCACCAGAAGACGAGCTTTTCAATAGAGTCGCAGGTGACTAGATGTAGTCCTCTACCCAATGCCCACCCAGTCGGGTGTCCAATGTCTTCTTCAGGTATCATTCCTCCTGTCCAGACAGCACAACGCCACCCAGTCACCCGTCGCACCTTTCCTTAAACCAGCAAACTGCTTAATGCTACCGCCGACCGTGACCACTTCATTTTCCGTTTTGCGTTGCCTGTGACGATGGTTTCCTGCTCGTTCGCTGCTTTGGCGGTCGCCGCCGTTCTGGTATTACAAGTTGATGCACACAGCTACATGATCGACCCCATGCCCACGTGGCCTGTGTCCTGGGCTACCAACAACTTCGCGGCAACCATCGCAGGTCAAACGTATCTGCCGGTCCCAGATGGCATGTCCTATTCGACGGCACCGGAGCTCAACACAGAGGCCTACTGGACAGCTTTCAACGAGAGCTCGTATACTTCTCTCAAGGACCTGGTGGACAAGACGGGCGAGGTACAGACGCTGTCGCCCTTCGGCACGGCCACCTTGGAGTGCGGCTTCTCACTCGCCAACGGAACGGCACGCGACCTGCCGTCCGAGTACGTCGAGTGGAACCAGCTCACTGAGGGCCACGACGGTCCGTGCGAGGTCTGGTGCGACGACGTCTTGGCCTTCGAAGACGACAACTGTGCTGTCAACTACCCGGAGTCTCCGTCTAAATGGCCGTACGATGTATCCAAGTGTTCGGGTGCCTCACGGCTCACAGCCTACTGGATCGCCCTCCACGGTCTCCCGTGGCAAGTCTACATTAACTGTGTCCCACTGACAGGATCTGTAAACGGCACCACGACGGCTACTAGCTCGTCGACGGGGTCCAACTCTACCCCGACGGCCACTGCAGCTCCTACATCCACGACGGCTACTACCAGTGCACCTGTCAGCGCAACTGCAGCTCCGTCAGCTACGGACGCCTCCACCGCTGCTGAAGCGGAGGACTCCGAGTGCGGCTCTCTAGATATCGCAGGGTCTGACGAATCAGACTGTGGCTCTCTTGATGTCGCTGGATCGGATGAGTCCGACTGTGGCTCTCTCGATGTTGCAGGGGACGACACGGACTCGACCGGCACTTCGACCGACACATCGACCGGCACGTCGACCGGCACTTCGGCTAGCACGTCTACAGGCACTTCAACGTCGACTGGTACCTCAGATTCGACTTCGATCACAACGACGTCGTCGGTAGCGGGTGAATCTGACTCGGATGAAGTGGCTGGAGAAGCAGAGACAGCTAGTAACGTCGAAGACTCGGAGTGCGGGTCGCTCGATATTGTCGAAGAAGACTCGGAGTGCGGGTCGCTGGATATTGCCGAAGAAGACTCAGAGTGTGGGTCTTTTGATATAGCTGAGGACTCGGAATGCGGCTCTCTCGACATGGCTGAGAGCGCTGAATCCGACGAACAGTACACGGGCTCCACAACCGGTATCGATTTCAGTACTCTACAAGGTGCTAGCACCGCCGGCACGGTATCACCCCAAGTTTAAAGAGCAGTAGAAAAGGGATGTTTGTCACTAGTCGACGTAGTGTAGTGTTTAACAACTCGGTGCCAATGTATTCACATGTCAACTATGGTGGATGTGAGAGTAAAAAAAGTAAATGCTCACCAAAAAAAATTGCAGCTCGGCGTGTTATTGCGTGAATTTTTTTGTTTAAGCGGACAAAGAATGCAAATTTTGTTTCACTGTAATAGAACTAAATTTGGCAAAAAAAAAAAAAAAAAAATGGAGGACCGCCTTAAAATTCGTCTATCTGAAAGGTTAGAAGGTGTGATGAATGAACAAAATGGATCTCTTATCAATGAGGAGTTTTCATTCAAACGATCTCTTGGTGTAAGCAGAAAGACGTGTCTTCTAAAAAGATGAACGAAAATTTTCCTCAGGCGAAGAGTAAAGTTTATGCCGTGTTTGGTACATTTGATCAAAACAAAAGATATCATTTGCAACGACTACCTACCCTCCTGAACTGTGGAACTCCAACGACTACGTAGGTGCGGAAGTTAAAATGCAAATTTGGACCTAGCGGGTTCGTCAAGACTAAACCTGTCGTCTATGATTTTATGCAGCACTTCGCCCGGGGCAATTTCTTCAGCCTCCTGTTCGTCCACCAGAGGTGTGCGGACGCCCTGTTGTTAACTCTCGTATCTGCCTCGATACTCCGTCTCGTACTCGTGAATGACATACTGTCTGATGCGTGTCATGTCATTGGCAACCTTGGGTAGTCGATCTTTCGCTCAAGGATCGAATGAAGCGGCGATGCAAACTTCATGACTTTTAACTACGCTACTGTATTCATTCATTTTAGACTTGGAAGTTCTAGCAAAGCTAACAGTATAGGTGGACGTTGAGTGATCTATCACTTTCGTGGCATTTTGTTAGAAAAATATAAACAACTGCCATTCCAAATGTCGGGTAGTTTTACCTGACATCGTTGTTGTAGTAGCTTTAACTGGAGTCAGAACTTGCTGAGCTCGTCCAGCGCTCTCCAAACGTCACCAGGGAATGGGACAGCCAGTCGATCATCAGGTCCGATTGAGAAATCTTTGTAGCCTTCATGGCGGTCCAGGATGCGACGTAAAAGCTCTTCAATCGGTTCTCGGAGGTCAAGAGCAGACGCAACCATCAACCGCGTGCTGTTCCAACGAGCAACGCAATCCTGCTTAGGCTGCTGGAAGCTCACTTCCAGAACACCACATAATCTCTGGAGCTCCTCATTCAGACAAGTAGAGCCCACCAGTGTTTTTTTAGTAGCTCACGCATGGTGTCGATGCTGATATCCACGAAGTAGCTTTTCTCGAGACCTGCTTTGACGGCTAGTTGCGACACGTGAGCAAAATCCCGAGCTTGGAACACCTTTTGAGGCTTCTCGATGATTTGGGAGACATGTCGGCAGCTGATGAAGGCATTGTTGCACGTGAGCTTGCATAGCAGTAGGAAGCTTTGCACGAATCGTTCGCACCATCGATTTGCTGTTCTTTGCTTTTTCTGTCGTACTAGCCCATATTGTAGCAAACAATGAGCCATCCATCGTCACGACATCGAGCAAGTGGTTGGCAAGGCGTTTATCCGTATGAAGACTCTCTTAAATCCTAATATTACCGAGCGCAAATTTCAATTCTCGTCAACCCAATGTAAGGCCACCGCCATATATCCTTTAAGTGCTGCAGAGGTCCACATACCAGTTGCAATAGAGGTGCGACGAGCGCGAAATATAAGGCAACACAGAATTGTTTTTCTCGTAAGATATATCTATAATTTCCATCAAACGATAATACTATAATCTGACGACAAGGTAGTTTGTAGGAGGCTCCAGCGTCACATAGAACCCAGTGAACTTGGGCTGCTCTACAATTGAGAAAGGCTCAGAATTCTCCACAACTGTAGTAGGTCAAACGAATAACACTCTGCTAGGGAAGCTGGCGCTTCCTGGTGAACCCAAGTCTATTGTGAGTCCTAATGTGTAGATTCTGTTCTGTCCTCTTACTCTCAAGAACCGCCTATAGGCTCTCGAGTGGTTTCCTAACTCCTAAGTAGTCGCCAGCTCGGCATCGCACTTATGCGATGCCCTGCGAGTGGATGGAGACTTGTTCGGTTAAAGCTCTCCACTACACTGCCCTCCCAAAGTCTTCATCACTCGTAAATGTCTGTTTGCAAGTTCTGTTATGCTTTCGGTTGTGACCGATCTGTAGGCCTCGACTTTGGTTTGATTTATGCAGCAACATGCCGCTCGAACCGTCTGTCGTTCGATCGAGACGCAAATTGTGTTAGCAGAACAGGTATGTCCGTACTGAGCTGCTTTGATACTTCCCAGGAGTCTTCGATCGACTCAAGTCCTTTCCAACTCACCAGGACTTCATAGTCCTTTTTGGCTTTGTTCCACCGAGCTTCTTTGAGCTCGGCCACCGACAGCATCAGTCCTTGGGCGGCGATGTGGTTCCGAAGCTCTTCGGTAACTTGTAGTGAGTGATCGGCGTAGAACTTCAAGCGGGACGGGTGAACATCCACCTCCTCCCCTGTCAATAGATGAAGAACAGCGAAATAGTGTTTGTCTGCTCGTACTACCTGGTAAGGTCCCACCCAGGTGACTAACAGCTTTTCGTAGTGCTTTTGGTCTACTCTCGACCGCAGCACAAAGTCTCCCACATCAAAGTTTGGAGAGCGAGCAGGCCGTTGGGCTCGTTGGTTGCGCACTGTCTGCCGTTCACGTTCCTGTGTCATTGGCTTGTGCAGGTCACGAATACTTTTCCTCAAATTCCCCAACCAAGTCGATACGGCTGGAGGGTGTACAGGTATCTCCAGTAGTTCTTTTTGTTGTTTGTCCATGCACAATGTTAAAGGTGATGGCAGTGGTAGCCCACAGAACAATTCAACTGGAGCCCGGTTGCCTAATGAGGGCACCGGTGTGTGGTTCAGGCTGGATTGCAGCAGCGGCAAGAAGAACGTCCAGTCGTGTATGTCTATCTTGTACTCAAGGCACAACACACGAAGAACTTGTATAATATCTCGATTTGCTCGCTCTACGCTCCCATTTATCCACGGGCTGTAGGCCACGGTAAACTCGTGCCGTGCCTTTAGCCTTCTGCACAATTCAGTCATCACCTCGTTTTTAAAGTGTGATCCTTGATCACTTATCCACAATGGAGGCAGTCCAAACCTGCTGTACCATGCAAGCATCGCATCGACCACCACTGTACTAGTCGGATTTGTACAGGGCGTGAGCTCGGTGAAATGCGTTGCTTCGTCTTTGAGAACGAGTAGGTAGCGATCTCCTTCGAAACTGTCTCCAAGCGAAAGGAAATCAAAATGTAGAGCGCCATTGCGTTCGTTCGTTCGGTAGGTTTCTGCCCACGGTCGCTGAATGATCTTGCTCCCTTTCACATGTTTACACAGTAGGCATGCCCGTAAGAAAGTCTCTACACGAGAGTGTAGGTGGTGAATGTCAAAATGTCTACCAACGCAAGCCACCATGGCATCTCGCCCGCGGTGCCCCTGAGGTCCGCAGTGAGCCACCACTAGCAACCTCTGCACCAGGTCTGATGCACTTCTTGGTATCCACAATCTGTCCCTAATGTACCAGCCATTTTCAGCATCACCAACCGCCGAATGTGGTCGTTCGCTCAACATTTCCTTTTGTGTACCCAATATTTCAGTTAGCGTAGGCCATTCAAACTCAGGATCGTCTAAAGGCCGTAATTTGTGCGAGCGAGTTGGTGGTGTATCCAACTCGGGCGGTGGTTGCGGCTCTGAACGTGTCGTCATTACGGGGGCTTTCTTTTTGCCACTACGCTGTCGTTTGCGCCATTGCCGAGGCTCTACTTCTTCCTCTCGACCCCTTTTCCGCAATTGCATCACGTTCAACTGCACCGTCGAATCATGATTACCGGCCCACCTCGACACCATATCGGCCCAGACATTTGACTCTCCATCGATATGTTCCACTTCGTAACGATACTCCATTAGTTTAGTCGACCATCGTAAAAGTTTGCCACGAATGTGCTTCTTTACTTCTTTTTCTGGCGCGAACACGTAAATCAAGTTGCGGTGATCGCAATAGAGTTTAAAACCTTCCGGGCGAAGCAGGAGGTAGCTGAGCTTCTCACAAGCACACACTATCGGGTACGCCTCTTTCTCAATGATACTCCAATTACACTGAGATCCTGTAAAACTGCCACTCAAACAGATCAGGAGTTCATGTTGTTGCTCGTGAACTTCTTTTTGAGGTACCCAATGTACCACCTGGGACACCAGTACTGCCCAACCGAGGTCTGAAGCATCAGTGAGCAAACAAATGGTCGCTCCTTTCTTTGGAAAAGCTAGTGTCGCACTGGTCGATAAGAGTTCCTTCATTTCATCGAAAGCACTTCGTTCTGCTACAGTCAAATCCACTGCAATACCTGAGGCCACTCGTTTTGTCCGCCTAGAAGCTGTCATTAGAGCCGAATCCAACGCATTCTGAAGTGGGACTCTAGCAGGGGGGTCATCTCCGAGCTTGAGTCTCCAGATATCGAACCGGGTCACGATCCGCCGTAGATCAGGCGCGAACTCCATCGGAAAACCTTTTTCGATTGCTTTTCCTACCAAAGTTTCCACAACAGCACGCACTTCTTCACTTATCTCCACTCCACTACCTATTTGGGATTCGTCATCATCATCAAATTCATCGTCTCTCTCAACTTGCACAGCATTGGCTACAAACATATCAAGTTGCTTGTGTACATCGATGCCAAGCATAGTCAATACGTCATTACCAAGCA